TAACTTGTGAAGCCACCTGCCACAGGTGGGGGGTGGGAATTTTTGGGGGGGGAACCCGTAGAGATGAAATATATTGTGAACTTAATCAAGCTTGCGTTCAGGGAACTTAATATGAAAGGGAACTCTAAATATGAAATGCTGTTGAGAGAATGGGGGAGGGCAAACAGTTCTTTGAACTTCCAGAGGCCTCTGGAAGGCTGCAGTTGGGAACAGAATGCTAGCTGCTAGCTAAGAACCTTGAATCTGGTCCAGCGAGGCCATACATATTGATGCTCTCTAGTGCGTGCCTAAAATTTAAAAAAACAACATACAAACCTGACTTACCCAAACTTTCCAAGGAGATGCAAGGCCATTGTTCACATTAGTGTTTGTCATGATTTATCAAATTTGTCATGATTTAATTTTATGGATACTTTGGACATATAGAGAGGATGAACGAAAGGAGACGAAACAAGTATACAAGATGAGTGTGGATGGGAGAGTTGGACGGGGTCGACCTCAGCGAACGTACCTCAATGAGATTGAGGACATTTTTAGCAAAGGCCAGTTTAAGAGTACCCTAATTAAATTAATAACAATATATTAACAATAATAACCTATATAGTTTAAGTTTAAAAAATTTGGCTCTCACAATAAATTTCAATTGTTGTACTGTTGATATTTGGCTCTCTTGACAAATGGGTTTGCCCACCACTGATAACACAACCCTATGATCTGGGCACTGTGTCTTGATATCATTTGATGAGAATCCACCATGTATAGAATTTAGGTTATGGTGGTATTTAAAATGCCATGCAGCATTTGACTCAATGACACAGCCTAATCAAGGGAAGGTACTTGCATTTTTCCAGAAGGCACATTAGATCTTGATATGCAGTTCTTCAGTTTGTCAAAAGCAACCAAGTGTGAAACAGCCAAGGACCATGATACATTTTCAGACTCATTCCTGCCCATAGCATGCCTCCTAAGGAGACTGAAGCTCGAACTCATAACTTAAAAGATGTAAAGAAGACTGAAGCAGACACTCCTCAGAAGTTGTCATAAGCATCTTAGAAGAGTTGTTAACAAGACAAAGCAGCTTTATTAACTAGCACAAAGGCACAACATGTAACTGGATGTTAAGAAGGAGCTAAAATTAACAGAGCAACTGTAAGGAACATCCCGTTCAACAGTTGCCATGGACACAAGCCGCTATTCACAGACTCAAAAGGAGAAATGGTGGCAAGTCTTACCTGGTCTATGCTCACTTATTGTCACACAATAAAAGTACAAAACTGGGGTATGCATTTGCTCTGGGTGGCCTGCTTATTCCTCTGCTCCAAACACAGTGTGCATAGCAGTGTCTCTGTTTGCACTTGGTTATGCTGGGATGTTTCGATTGATGTGCAGGTGATGCCCATATGGTCTTGATCAATATTTAAACTAAAATATCTTATGTAAGTGTGCATTTAATTCACATTTGCACAGTTATGCTATTCCCTATTGTGCAATGTGAGTGGGGGCAGCCACAAATCTACGCCACCTACACACAGATTAAAACGTCATCATTTATTCTAATAGACAACCCGACCCAATCTGTGCATACTTATATTTGTGGATTGGGACAAGGTGGAGAGAAGGGGGATTTCTCCAAAACTGGGAAATCCCCCAGGTTTGCAGAAAAATCTGAAACCTTAAAAAATGTGGAGTCAGTTAAAACCCCAAAAACAGAGGCTGGGAGCTGGTGGGGAGCTGGACGTGCAGGGAGCCAACCCAGCCAAGGCTGGGAGCAGGCACAGAGATAGGCATGCAGCCAATGTGTCAGGGGATGTGTGCAGTGAAATTATGAGGGGGGAGAACAGTGGGCTGCCAGAAGGCAGGATCCAAGTGATTTGTGAGGGAGAAAGAAAGAGAATAATGGATGGAGGAGGGACACACAGAGAAAGAGTCAAAGGGATGGGAGAGGGAGAAAGACGAATGTCAGTAGGCATGATGAAGAGAAAGAGAGAGAAATACATAAGTAAGAAGTGTGAGGACAGAGAAAGAGAGAGAGAGACGGAGACAGAGAAGGCATGGTGAGGGGGGGATAAGTAAGGGTAAGGAAATGGGATGGCTGTTCCTGCAAGTTCCTTGGGGGTCCCCACTTCTAAGATTTTTGTTCATACAAACTTTGACACGGTATGATTCCTTTATTATCCCTTTTAAATTTACAGTCCTTTCATGGTGGAAAAGAAGGAGGGCCTAGAGAGCCCACCATTCAAGCGACTGCCATGCTACATTCAAAGGCAGAGCAATACCTGGCTCCTCTCTGCTTGGCTCTCAGGACCTTTCATCTCAGGAGGAGCAGCAATGGGGACGAGTACTGGGAATGGGGGGGGGTAGGAAGGAATCACCTGCTTGTTTTATTGTAAACCACTCTGAGCAGCAAAGAGGTACACAGAAATATAGTAAATGTAACTGCTTATATTACAAATTCCTGGCTGCACTGTGTACAGTTATTACAGCAAGATGCTCAGCAATTCACATCAGGTACTGATCAAATATGGCAAGCTAGTCCGATATTGTCAGATCTCAGAAGCTAAGCAAGGTTGGCCCTGGTTAGTGCTCGGATGGGAGACCACTGAGCAAGTCCAGGGTTGCTTTGCAGAGGCACACAATGGCAAACCACCTCTGTTTTGTCTCTTGCCTTGAAAAACCCATGAGGGGTCGCCATAAGTTGGCTGTGACTTGACAGCACTTTTCTCCATCAGATGTAAAGACCTTAAGCATCAAGAGAATGCCACATTTGCTTTTTGTAGAAAATGCCAGACATGACATAACACCGAATTTGGTCTTTCCCCAAATTGGGACAAAACTCCATAGTGCAAGCTAGCCTGTTTCATACCACTTACAAACAGTTCATAATTAGAATTACAAACCATTTGTGAGATACGTACTCTCAGTGCAGATTTGCACCTGATGAATCTCACACACCACTGCAGCACTTTAAGTTACTTAAAAGGGACAGTCAAGTCAAGAACCTGAATGTTAGGATTAGGAGTTGAACAGGGCAGATACACACTGTTCAGTCAGAGATATAAACAAAAGTCAACAGCTTGCAGGCCTTCCAAATTCACTTTCTCCCATCTGTTCAAAATTACCATACAACCAACTGTTTTTCCAAGAAGGGACTGCCAATGCATGCCCATTCGGAATTCACATGCTTACCTGACAGTCAAAGTCCTGGAAATTTCGAGCTGAATTCTGTCAGAATAAGAGTAAGAAACAATAAATAATCAAGAATCCAATCCAATATGGCTGCAACTCAATGAACTTTGCATTGCACCCATTTGAAATTTCTGCTTCATCACGTTTGCAGAAAAAGCCACAGGTTATAGAAGAACTTTATTTGTTAAAAATGTCTTTGCTGATTCCCCTTCACACTGCTGCAACCCTCTGTGAGTGCACGCACACACACAGAGCCAATCCTGGACATTGCTGGACTCTTGGGGACTGTATGGGATATAGTGCAGAGGACGGGAGGAAATCAGCAAATCTTGCTCCCCCTTGTGCATGAAGAAGTGCCCTTCTGCTCAAACAGCGAGTGGCTTGCATCCAAGCCACTCTGCACAGAATCTTCCAGTAGTAAATCAGAAGAAAGTGCTCAGATGGGGTAATTACAAGGAAGATGTTAATTTTACCACTACTGAAGCCCAGAAGCCAGCCATAAACACTGTATGACCACTGCCAATAAGCAGCTAATTACACTGTGTCAGGCAATGTTCAGCAGTTCCAACACCTCCATAAGTATGCATTTCATGGCTCAGAAGTACACTATTTCTAATCACTTCCAAAATCTTCATGCATATGTCAAACACCTCTTCAAAATACACCTTGAAGCACGCTTCAGAATGATTTCAATTTAAAATTAACATTTCTATATTGTCCCTTCTTAAACCTTCTCTAGGATAAATCTCAGCCTTTAGCTACAATGTAATTGTTGTAATTTCTCCATCCAGTGAAGTTTTATTTCTAAATTATATGGACAGTCAGCTCTCCTGGCAATTATGAGTATCATGAGAAAAGAATATTTTAAATTAGTAAATGTAAATTAGAACAATATGCAGAGTTCAGATATTAGTCAGGACAGATTCTCAGCAAATATAATGTAAAAAGAACAAAGAAATAAAAATCGGATTTGTAGATGAAGTTGGAAACACTGGTATGGATCCAGAACAGCATTTCCATAGCTGCAAGGGTTTCCATCAGCGGCAGGCAACTCCTGCACCCACAGCTACCCAAAATGCCCCGTCCAATCCTGTTCCTGTGGTCTTTACGGGCAGGAAATCTTGCACCTGTGGAAATGCAGTTCTGAATCCAAACCAGTGTTCTGTCCCTAAACTCATTGCAGGCTACAAAGAAATCATGCTCTTCATACGTGTCCACACCCACATAATGGTAAATATATGAACTGCAGTGACTTCTTAAAAGCTGATGAATATGTTACATTTCACGGCTCCTTTCCTTACACTTGTTCACCATGCATGAAGGACAACTAGTTTTTGAGAAGTTGAGGCTGTTATTATCTCTCCTTATATTATATATATTCTGTTTTGGGGTGACTCTTTCCTGGACATTCCACATGCTCCCAAATCAACTGGGTCCATGATCTGTCACTCAGGAGGTGTGCCAATCCCCTGGCTGCATTGCCTCGCTGAGTTGCCTCATTCCCGCTCACAGAGCCAGCAGCCAGCATCTCAGGCTCACTGTGGAGGGAGCCGGTGAACAGAGTGGATCCTCTCAGTTCCCGGCCACAAACAGCGTTTTAGCAATGGAAAGCCAGCAGCATTAGCCAATTAAGGCTTGCGCTTTTAGTGAAGGAAAGCAGCCAGGGAGGGAGGAAGATGGCCGTCTGGCCATGGAGCCCCTTCAATGTCACAGGGAGATAAGTCTGAAAGTCAAGCCTGCCGGAGACGAGGCAGACCGATGCGGGAGGATTGACTTTCACCCACTGCCGCTTCCCTGGGAACAGACAGTTCTATGCGGGCACCTCTGCCGAGAGCTGTCCTCTGACACTCCAGTGGGTGGAGGCTTCGGAGGCCAAGGCCGAACATGGCAGCGCTGCAGTGGGCGTTGTCAGCCGTACCAGGGTGCAGGGAGCCGGACGGACGGTGAGCTCATGGAAGTGGTGCCCAGCCTCTCACCCTCGGTATGCTGCGAGGTGACGGACAGGCCCAATGATCCGGCGGCTGCAGGGTAAGGAGGCCGAGGCCGACCATGCTGCCGCCGCACCGATCACCACCGCCTGTAGATGGCTGCAGGTGGCAGAGTGGGCTGCGTGCAGACGAGCACCAGTGCCACAGACGAGAACATGGCCAAGGAGGAGAGCAAGGCCGAGATCTTGCTAGCACTCGTTGTATTCCTTTTACAATGGGCTTTGCTACTAGTATGTTATAATTCTATTATTAGGAACCCCAAAACTCATAAGAACATAAGAGAAGCCAATGTTGGATCAGGCCAATGGCCCATCTAGTCCAACACTCTGTCACACAGTGGCCAAAAATACCAGGTGCTATCAGGAGGTCCACCAGTGGGGCCAGGACACTAGAAGCACTGTTGCCCCCTTCAGCACCAAGAATACAGTGCATCACTTTCCCCAGCCTGAGAGTTCCTATCTATACCTTGTGGCTAACAGCCACTGATGGACTCCTGCTCCATATGTTATCTAATTCCCTCTTGAAGCTGTCCATGCTTGTAGCCACCACCACCTCCTGTGGCAGTGAATTCCATGTGTTAATCATTCGTTGGGTAAAGAAGTACTTTCTTCAACTCAACACTAAGAAAAGCTAAAAATGTTAATGCATATTTGTATGTATTTGTAAGCATATTTGTATGTATTTCTTATTTTACATTATTTATTCTGCTTCAGCAAGTCATGGAGAGAACCAAGGACGTAAGCAGGGCACTGTAGTCTTATCCCCCTTCTGATGGCCACTGGAAATCCTGCTGAGACCTCTTTTGCCTTTGGAGATCAGCCACTGTCTGCACATTTTCAACACACTCTTTGCAGCCATAACTGTTTTATATGGTGCCATCATCATTTTAAAAGGGGGGGAAAGATTGGTGTTTACAATCTGAAGTTCAACATATGAGAGGCAAACGGAAGACAGAAGACTGTCCTACAATAGAGATCTGGAAAGAAAAACTAGCCGAGTACGCAACATTGGCAAAACTAGCCAATTATATAAACAAAAGACCATTGAAAGAATTTCAGCAGAAATGGCAAGTTTATTATACTATGGGAATAACTAACTTTTTTATTTTTATTTTTGGAATTATCTGGATATCATATTAAAGGTAATGAAGATAATGATTATAGTTCCAATATTTTATTCTGTATTCCACTAGTATTAAAAACATTAGTAAGAATAAAATTTAGATTTAGAAAAACAATTAAGACAATATTAAGGTTTTTATTAGAATGATTTATTTTTAGCATAGAAGTTCGTTCAACTGTTAAAGATGTAATCTCTTTTATCGTTAGTAGATTATCACTAACTTTAGGAAAGTTCTTGTTTATTCTTTAAAGAGAGAATCTATCCCTAAATTCTATGATAGTGATGTTTTATTGTCTGCTTCTATATTTGAAATGTGTAATACATTTGGTAATGAATCTCATCTTACTTGTTGGAAAACTCATAACATTTGACAAAACAGATGAATCTATATTTTCCCCCAACCCCTTTTTCCCTTCTGTATTCCACCTTTATTTTGAGAAAATAATTAAAAAATTAATTAAAAAACAGAAGAGGCAAAACTGGGAAGAAAGGAGGATACAGGGGAGGGTAAACAAGGAAAGAATACATGTTCAAGGTCAATTGTATCAGAATAGAAACTAAAAAATTTTCAGGATATCTAGTTGTTCTCCCAACACCAAACAGTACAGAACTGTGGAATACAGCACATGTACACAGCTGGTACACAAATCAAATATAACAATACAGAACTTTGCTAATGCTCCAGTAAGGCCAGATAGGTTACCTTATCATTCAGAAGAGGTTTGATCTCTGTTAACTGGACATCTTGCAATTCATCCATGTCTTCCGAGATCACCAAAGTCAGCTCCGAGACGGCAAATCACAGCTGCTGAAACAAGGACAAGACATAGATTAAAATCATAACATTGGAAGAGATCCCAGGTTGACACAGAATGAATTGAGAATATGGATTAGATGGTAAACCATGGCCATTGGACAGGTCAAAATCACAAGAAGCTCCCTCTCCCCTTCACAACAAAAGGATCTTCACTATGTGACTCAAGGTAAGCTGTGTATAAGCAAGAAAACATTTTTCAACAGTAAGTTCATTTTAAAAGGCCTCCTGTGAAGCAGAGCTTCTGCCTGAAATGTTGAGGAGTTACTGTTAGGATAACGCATGACCTCACTCCCCGACATGTTGTGGCTGTCTCCACCTCTTGTGACAGCCATTTTGTGGTTGCGCCCACCACCCCGTGTCAGAATGCTGAAGGTGCCTACAGGCTCAAAAAGGTTGGGGACCACTGGTGTAAGAGGTACTTATCAAAGGTTAATACATCTAAATAAAGCCCCCAAATGACCATTTAACAGGTAGTTGCATGCTACAGTCTGAGTACTTTTTATCATTATGAACAATTTAACATAGAAACTGTTGGTTCACAGGCGAATATGTTCTGAACATATCTGAAAAGTCAGCTCATACTTTAAAGTATCTGACTCAAATGAGGAAGAGACCCACCTTTTCCTCCTGCTGTCAACCCCCACATCCTCTCCCCTTCCCATGCCTCGTTTTCTCCTTCTTAGCTATTCACCAACCTACCTTTAATCTGCCTCTCATCTTCAGCTATATTTATTTACTTCATTTATACCCCATCTTTCTCCACAATGGGGACCAAAGCAGCTTACATCATTCTCCTCTCCTCTTTTTTATCCTTACAACAACCTTGTGAGGTAGGTAAGGCTGAAAATATGTGACTGACTAGCCCAACATAACCTGGTGAGCTTTCATGGCAGACTGGTGATTTGAACCTCGCTCTCCCAGACCATACTCTGAAGTTTGAACTAAAGCATCACACTGGCTTTAATAGGGTGGCTGATGCTGAACAGCAGCAAGCAGCTAGCCCTAGGTAAGTCTACTGGGAGCCTGGAGGATATTCAGAGAGGTGGCTGAAAAAAGCCTGCCCCCGCCTCCTGACTGTTGGTATTCCAAGGAGGTCTCCCATCCAAATACTTGCCAGAGTTGACCCTGCTTAGCTCTGGAGATCAGGCTTGCCTGGGCTACCCAGGTGAGGGCTATAAGTTCTGTTCTTATTGTGTTCTACTATAGATCCAGGTAGTCAGCCATGTTGGTCTGAAGCAGTAGAACAAATTTAGAGTCCAGTGGCACCTTTAAGACCAACAAAAGTTTATTCAAGGTATGAGCTTTCATGTGCAAAGCACACTTTTTCAAATACAGTGGAATGGGATGTAAGGTTCTAACTTATAGATGGGCTGAACGGCTAATTAACATGTAACATGATGAAGATGTTTTAAGCTATGCAAAAACAGAGTTAAATAAGAAGCTAAGGTTATAAGGTCAACAGTTGTAAAGCAATAAATATGTCCAACTAAATTTGAGACTCTCCATTCACTCTCAGAGCCTGGGAGGTCACTTAACAGCATTTTTACTTTCTCTTTCAAGGTGGATCCAATATTCTTTGTATAATTCAGTATTCTAATATACTATTCTGAAAAAGAAATACACTAAAATACAGAGAATGCATAGTCCCTCTGTATGAGAATACATATACGAAGACTGAATGAGTTAGTATATGTAATGAGATAAGAAACCAATATCCCTGTTGAGTCTTGGGGAGGTCTTTGTTCCAAGTGTTGTAATAACTTCTAATTCAGCCATTTCCCTTTCCATTCTGTTCCTGAAGTTCCTTTGTAATAAAACAGCTACCTTGAGGTCACCCATTCAATGTCCTGGAAGGTTGAAGCTCATACCTTGAACAAACCTTTGTTGGTCTTAAAGGTCTTAAAGGCACTTAAGATTTGACTTTGTAGCAAATATTTTACAAAACGGTTTCAATGTTTTTTCTACTATTGATCAAGATATATCTTGGCTGGAGATATGAAAATATGCTATTCATGGATAATCCAGGTTTACGGAAGACTTTAGTGCCTTATTGACAATTTCAAAGTAGCTTTATTTCAAGTATGTATGTTAAGGATGTCTACGTTTTTTGAAGATATATATAAACCTAATTTATTCCTACTAACGTTTGATGTAAACCTTTCTGAAATGCATTAAGGACTATTAGTTGTACATTTTCCAGGCTGTATGGCCGTAGTCTTGGCATTGTAGTAACTGACGTTTCGCCAGCAGCTGTGACTGGCATCCTCAGAGGTATAACACAGAAAGATGGAGTACTCTCTGTGTTGAGGTGAGAAGAAAAATAGTAGGTGGGTAATTTATATCTACTCAGGATAGGGTAGGGCTGAGTCATTATCTTATAAGAGTTTCCCAAACTGTGACATGCTAATGGAGGAGCTTTCCTGAGGAGGTTCTTTTGCATATGGATTGGCTGTTGAAATTCTAATCTTATCCGTAGTGCTGTTGTCAAATGTAGAGCATTTTGTGTTTTTCGGGACTGGAAACCATGCCCTATTTATTTGTAAACTTTCTTCTTTCCTGTTGAAATTGTGTTAATGTTAATGTTTATGAATTTCAATGGCTGTTACTGCAAAGGATTGTTACTGCAAAACCGTCATTGTTTGCACAGGCCTTCCTATACTCGGTGATCTCTCCCCTAATTTATGGAAAGGTTCATTACTGAGAACTCTTCTAATGATTACATTACAGGCATCCCCACACATACTTGCCTTAGAGTTAGAGGAGTATACCTTTAACTCTTCCCAGGTCATCACTGACAATCTTTTAATCAAATGGAAAAAAGCACAAAGTGGAAGAGATGGAAGAGGGGCACCTTTCATCACACAAGTGCTCAGGAGCACTTTGGAGTGCCTCTAAAAGCTTAACGTAACAGCAGAATAAGCTGCCAGGCATCACAACCTTGTGCTGAGTTTCTGAGGGACTCAGAACAGCAAGGTGTCCGGCTCTGATGCTTCTGAAGCTCAAGATAATATCAGACAAGGCTCTGCATGTCCCCCCATGTTGGTCAGGGGGGGGGATTTGCGGTGAATCTGGCCGCCTAAATTTTGAGACCCTAGCAACATTGGTCAAAATGTGTGGACCCCTGCATCCTGTTCTTATTTGCAATGTGTGTTTTTTTTTTTGGGGGGGGGGAAATCAGTCTCCATGAAAATGAATGGATAAGGCTGCGCTGAACTATGACTATGTATTACAAATCCCAGCAGCATGTGTTGCTGGCTCCCATGCATTGCATTTTTGTTGTAAATAAGTGTGGGAATAATGAGAAACTGACAAACATTTAATCCAGACAAATTAAATTTTATATATTACAGACTAGGAAGTGGCTTCTTTACTAGATGGATTGGCTTTACTGGCTTTCATGTTTAACAATTGTTAAATAAGTGAATGATACCCTAGTTACTGGTATCCCTTTGCTCTTCCATGACTATTGGATGCACTTTTTTTTAATGGCCCAGGAGAGAAGCTAATAGGAATTTCCACTTCAGACAGATGTACTGGTATAAAAAATGTTACTCATTGACCTCAATTCAGGTATTATCACTGCTGTAGAAACCCTAACAACAATCTGAATACTTCCATATCACTCCCCTTCTGAAAAGTGTACATTTGATCCACTTTTTTAACACTCTCCTCTACAGTGTTAATTTCAGCAGAATTCTAACATCTGGAACAATCATTTATGGCCATTTATACATATAGAGTTAGAGAAGCAGTGTCCAGAGGGATGCATGTCTTCTTCTGCAAAATTGATAAATATAGTCTGCTGATGTTTCCAAGGCAACTACACTCTCCCCAGACATACAAGGGAAGAGGAGCATAAGGCTGGCTAAGCAGCTTTCCTACACAAACTTAGCTGCACCTTATTTTGGCACTGATATTTGGAGTAGAAACAAACACACAAGCACAGAACTAGAATGAGACAGATATGACATAGAGGAAAGGCCAGCCTCTAATTTAGTTTTAGTCTTTATGTATCAAGTAGGGGTGTGGAAGAAAAATAATTTTCCCCTGGATTCTGGTATATTGGGCCAAAAAAAATATCAATATTTCCCGATATTCCTGAATTCCAATATTCCCGATATTTCTGTATGGTATTTGGATTCGGTAACTATTCAGGAGTCCTGAATTTATTGAGGTCCATTATACCCTATGGGGACCACTGAAGTCAATGGCAAATCTCCTGGGGTATATTCAGTGGTCGAGGGTGGGGGGAGGTTAAGCATTGCTACTGAAGCCTCTCCTCAAAAGAACCCCAAAGTTTCAAAGAGAATGGACCAGGGGTCCAATTTTATGGCCACCCAAAGAAGATGTCCCCATCCTCCATTGTTTACAATGGGGGAAAATAGCAAGGCACTACAAGCCCAGCAGAATGTTCCAGAAAATCTTTGCAGTAGAAAGTGAAGTGTGGGAGGGGGAATTTTTGCAAGGCCAGCAGCAGAACCAGTGCCACCGTGGCAGTACCAAACCCAAACAAGTCAAATATGAGAATCTCTGATGTAGAAAATGAGGAGAGTGGCATTTCTGCAAGGACAGCAGAACCAGTGCAATGTACTAGGCCCCATCAGCAGAACCCAGGGCCAATCTACTAGTGCCCAGCAGCAGAACCCAGGGCCATTGTGGCAAATGCCAGCTCAGCAAGGCTGATGTCAAGCATAGAATCACAATCCGAGCAAGGGAGAGGGGGTTGCAAGGACAGCAGAACCAGTGTAGTAGTGCCCAGAAGCACAACCCGGTGCCAGAAGTAACCAATGTCACACCAGAGAATCCCGGAGAAGTAAGGGCAGTAGAAGCCCAGAAGAACACTCAAAGGTGCAGGGTGGGCAGGCATTTTTGCTAGCCCACCTGAACCAAGGCCAGCCCAATACACAGAAGCCCAATAATGTTTTGTTTTCTTCCAAAGCCAAGGGCAAACCCAGAGAAACCTTAAACACCATTTCCCCAGGGAAGGCTTC